AAGGTCTTTCCACCTTCCAGCCTGCGCATTGGATTTTTTAGATGAGACACAGTGTGCGCGGAACTGAGCCCACCCTTTAATCCTGAGGTTCATCTGCCGGGGCCAAGCACGCTTGGACGGTGGCAGCGAGGTCCTCAGGACGTAGATGGATTGCCTTACAGGGCTAACGAGCTCCATCTGCCCGGGGAGGGGCCCTGACCGGGAATCGAACCCGGGTCTCTGCAGTGACAGTGCAGTGCCTTTCCCCTAGACCACCAGGGGCTCCCACTAAAGCCACTAACACTTAGCTGATGTGCTGGACAGTAGCAAAGGAGAAAACACTTTTGCTAAGAAATGAATAAAAATTCATAATCTAGTAGATTGTACTTCTTAGAATTTCTGCTTTTCAAGCAGAGCAGACGGCTGTGAAGCTGTTGATTAGTTTCTTTTTGAGTCTGGTCTCAAGAGGGATAGTACTTCAATAATTTTTTCCTCTCCTCATCCAGGAAAATCCCTTAAATCAAGATGGCCATAGACAATACTTTTTTGTTCTTTTCAGTGAAAAGCTGAAGCTTTCATTAGCGTATTGGGCTGCGAGGTTAAGCTACAGTACAGCTCAGGCCCTTGCTGCTTTTTTGCCACCTTTACTCTTAAAACTCCTTTACAATCTCAAATCCCTTCTGCTTCTTCTGAAAGCCCTGCTGAGCTTTCATGCTGCCTGTTGCTTTCTTTACATCGGATGGGCTGTGTTTCTCAGCTAGATTCCTTCCAAAGACTCACTTTTTTTGTTACAGCTGAATATTAATACCTCTATCTGTCCTCCCCTTTGACCTTTACTTATTTCTCATATCCACCCAGTTAATGTTGCTTCTTTCTCACTTGATTCTGTAGAATAGGTTGTGTGCTTGATGTTTAGTTTGTATATCCTGATAAGTATTATAATGTTTAAATAGCTACTTAAGGTGACTCAATACCATGTTGTGCTGATAAAGTAAATCGAGTTATACGTTTGTTAAGCCAAAAGATTAAAATGCTGATATATTTCGTGGACAGACAGATGATGTTCAAAGCGTCAGCTGAAATTGTTGAATTGCGTGGCACAAATATAAAATTTCTCTCTGTGCTTTGGGGCTTCATTAATAATTTATTGAGACAGCACTTCTCATGCTGGAGGTTGAGGAATTGGTTCAGAGATTAAGCAAAACAAAACAAAACAATCATTTGTCTACATAAACCTTGAAATTCTCTGCCTCCCGTCAATCAGAGTGGAACGTGACCTACTCTCCAGAATGGTGGTGATATTTAATGTGAAATACGTGGTGCATACCTGTGAGTTACCAGTCCAGGTGAGGAATGTCCTTGCTAGCAGATTCCATTACTGCCAATTTCTTGACTGACTCATTCTCCTGCTGGGGAGGGCAAGGGGCTGCCTCTGTCACCTTCCTTTTCCAGAGGTGAGTTTGGTTGTTTCAAAAGTGTTTTTTTGTTTGTTTGTTTTTTTACAGGCTCGACTGAACTGTAAGCACTGTGGGAAGCCAGTAATAGATGTACGGATTGGCATGCAGTATTTCTCTGAATACAGCAATGTCCAGCAGTGTCCTCACTGTGGAAATCTAGACTACCACTTCGTGAAGCCATTTTCTTCATTTAAAGTTTTGGAGGCTTATTGACGAAAGCTTTGCTTTAGTAATAGCTATTTTATGGGTATTTCAACTTTATTACATATCTTTTTATAGGATTCATTCTGTGATGAAATTTAATTTCTTTTCTAACTCAAAGAGCAGCTTCTTTGTCAGTGTACATATTAATATGTATATATATATATATATGTCGTTAAAACCAGAATCCTCCTGACAAGATCTCTGTGAAGGCTGGAGGCAAGCCAATTTAATGGCCTTTGAATATACCCCAAGTGTGGGGTAAAGATCAGCTAAAAATTATTTGGGTTTATTTTTTTGTATAATTGTAATACAGTTTATAGCAAGGGTGTGGGGAGACATACGGGACAGAGAAATACGTCCAATTGAAAAATGGGTAGGGTTGTTCCTCCAGCTTGGTGAAAATGGGAAATCCTTGGAAAGAAATGGTTCTTTTACTGCTGAATTCATTCAGCCCTTTGCATCGGTCCCCATGGGCGCAGGAGCTGGTCCCGTGCTGCCGGTGCCGCCAGTCCCTTCAGCAGGCTTTCTTTCAGATTTCCCGAAACGGGGGGTAAACTAGGGTGTCATGACAAGTGAATGTAAATGTATGCCAGCAGATGCAATCTTGAATGAGGTTTTTTGTTTTGACATAGCATCTTCCTGCTGTGTGTGTTTGATGTGCGTTGCCCTCATGGCAATAGTGCTGCTTCCAACGGGGCTGTCATGTGCCCAGCTGGGTCACCTGCTCATACCAAAACAAGCTGGAGATCTTAAAACGCTTTATTTAAAGGTGTTTCTTCACAGACATTTTAGGGAGGGAACTGGCTGAGCTGAGTGGGTATGTGTTTGTATGTGCCTGCTGGGGCTGAGGCTTTGCTGCCTGCTGCAGACTGGTGTGACTGATGTGGAAGGAGAACCATGAAGTGGGATCTGGGCCCTCAGATCTGTAAGAGCTGAGAGGTACTGAATGTACAAAACATGGCATCACTTTTTAAAGCAATTAATTGCTGCATCTTTGTCTTTCAAAATTGTGTTCAGTTTGGGATCTAAAAACATGGAGACATTTTAAGAAAGCAAACTTAGCATATTTACTTTCTACATGCCTCTGTGCTGTACATAACAGACCGCATTAGGCAGTGCATTCGTATCAGAGAGTTTGGCCCTGTAGGTTCTGCAGTTGTTGTTTCTTGATTCCCATTTCTCCTTCCCTTAAA